CGGGGCTATGAACGCCCCGTACAGCAGCGCATCCTGTTTTAAAGTTCAAGGGGGATAAGCCAAAGGTTAGCAAAGTTGAAATTATAGCTAAGCGCATAAGGGATAGTGTTAAGGTAAGAGCTAAAATAAATGCCAAAGTTTGGGTTGAAGTTGGAACCCGGAATAGGAATCATCCTGCAGTACAGTAGAGGGTCCATATTTCCACAGCAGACCTTTTGTGAGTACTTCTGCCGTGTGCGTGGATCTTGGCTTCTAGGGAATTCCTCTGGAATTTTTCGACAGTGTAATTGGGCATTAATTTAGGAGTTTAACTTATATGCTAATCGAAGTGGACATGGGATAGTATTCCCATGTGCCACTTAGGGAGATAAAAGCTCTTACAGCCGGCCTCGTAGGCGTTACCCACTTAAGTAATATTTTCCACTGCTGTAAACACTTGAGTTAGGGGAAACACCCTTTTTTAAAGTTTCTTACGATAATCAGTGACATAATGAAACATCCCGTTGACATAATATCTAGTAAGTTGTGGCTTATATACAGCAGATCGCGATGTTCCTTTTTGTACTGAACTCCAATAGCATCAATACCTCAGATCCGTGCTAGCGAGCATGGTCAGGGAGACTTGTTCATGAAGCAAAGGGCTGCAGTTTGGGTTGACATGGAGGTGGAAAGCGGACTAAAGTTGTTCTATGTTAGGCCAAATCAAAGTACCGATTAGGCCGACAAAAGATGAGACTTATGGTTGGTACTGTGTGAAGAAAAACACCACCACCACCACCACCACCACCACCACCACCACCACCACCACCACCACGAACACTGTGACCATCTTCGCAACGACGATGACGACCATCAGTATTTCTCCAACTCCCGTCACTGATCAACCGCTCTTGGCAGCAAGTCAAACGCCATCCTTACCATTATTACACTCATCTCCAACTGTGTGAACTCGGTCCCAACGCACCCTTATTGGATGACACATTTGTCGACCTGGTCGATCGTTCGCATTTTCATCGTACTGCGACCGACACGTCAGCGCCAGGAGCCACACATACGCTCACCGCGCCCGCTTCTCCTTTTCTCGCTGTTCACGCGATTCATTCGTCGAATGGGTCGGTTCGGTCACAGACCTTATCGACAACAGCGGAATTCCCTGTAGTACCGGTACCGGTACACATTCACCAGTCCTCCCATCGCCAGCCCAATAAACTTCCTCATTATCCAGTGAGTCCACCATTAGCAGCACCACAGCGGCAAACGATGCAGCATCTCCAGCCTATCCGGCCCACACTTTTGCCGCACGTTCAACTCACGCATCGGCCTCGTCGGTCGCTTGCAAATCCATCATGCAAAGGCTAAAAAACTGGTATCTGAAACACCAACACCATCACACATTTCCCCATCAGCACATGTACCGCACCTGAACACATCACCGGCACTTCTCAGGTAAGTAGGACCTGTGCTCTTCAGATTGCTTATCCATGCGACTCCTTTGTTAAATTTCAGATCCGAATGGTTCATACTTCATTAAAGGCTGCAAAACTGGCATCTGGAACACCAACATATACTAGACGCCATCGTCTCAACTGACCGCATTACTCTCAGAAGTTAACCATCGTATTGGCCCGCCCGGTCGCATGCTCACTTTCAAAAACCTCCGGTAAATCACCAAATACAGGCTAGATCTCAGCTGGTAGCCCGGAATGGGAAGCGGACGGCGCCCTTAACCCCAATTCCAACCTTAACCTTAACCCTAACATCAACCGTTACCGTTAACCCTAACGGCAATTCTGACCCTAACCATAGCTGAAATCGTAAACGTTACCGTAGCCCTTAGACATAGCCGTAACTGAGAAGCATAATCGTAATACTGAAACATTTTCGTACGCTCAAAACCTTATCATAGCCTGAAAACCTAAGCCTAACTCATAACCATAACCGGAAAATCGGAAACCATTAACCAATACCCTACTCCTAACCTCAAAAGTATAACGGAAGTCAAATGTGTCAGATGTGATTATGGAGCCCCACAAAATAATCCAAGTAAACAAACCCCCCAGCCGCCTGTAATGCGGGTCGGGGACACCAACTGCGATCTAACCCAAATACATAACCACACCAGCACACATTCTCCCATTAGCACATATACCACACATGAACACACCACTGGCACTTCTCATGTAAGTAGGAACTGCACTCTTCGGACCCCCTCTCCATGCGGCTCCACCATTGCATTTGAGATCCGGGTGATTTATATCTTGCTTGCCGAATTCCGGTGCGTGTGTGCTCATGGGCGGCCAGGTCACGTGCGTGGTACGCGCAGACGAATTACTCTTTATTCTGCCAGACACCTTTCAATCTCAGCATCGGTTGGTAGGCCGGCTCGAACAACTGACTAGTGCACGAGATAGGGTAGAACGAGTGAGATGGACTCTCAGCGCATAATTCCCCTCTTTAAACAATCTGACGCCCTGGAGACTAGCACGGCACATCAAAAGCTGTGAGCTCGAAGGTTGCCGACTGACGCTTCAATCCAGACCACGCAGCCAGTCCAGTTGCGTGTCTGAGTCCTCGACTGGTGGATCGAGAATCAGACTGCGATGACTCCTTCTTAGTGGCACTCTACCACACATGTATAATCCAAACCGCTTCCGCCACTCGTTCCTAGCCCTGGTGTGTGTGTGTGTGTTTGGGAGAAGGAGGCCGTGCGTGTGGCGCGTACAGTCGGACTCTCGAGCTCTTTCAGCCATTACGATCACCTCCTGCATCAGGCATCTGACAAGCTCGAACAGTAGACTGATGCCTGGGAGTGGGAATGTAGAGCGAGATCGACCATTTCAGCTCATATTTCTCACCACAAAAAATCTGACGTGTTTAAAGTTACTACAGTGCGCCGAAAACCGTGGCTTAGAAGGCCGCCAACTGATAGGATAACTCGGGCCTAGCAGTCAGCCCTGTGCTGCGTGCTTGTGTAGAGTGGCCAACCAGTGGGCTGGAAATCAGACTTTAATGGTTCCTTCTTAATGCGGCCTCTGTGGAACTCCCGCCCACTGGGATCTGAGCCGCCCCCATTCTAATTGTATAAAACCCTGGCTAGTGTGCGTTGTGGACCAGTCCGTGCGGTGGTAAGCCTAGGTGCCGGTTTTCGTCATGCGCCCACTTGCGCGCTCTATCTCTCTCGCCCCCGGTCTTTTTTGACTCTGTTTTGACACCTGGTCCTAGGGGGGGGGACAGGAGAGAGGGAGTGTGGTAGATGTTGCGCAAGTCTACTGTCACTATAAACTAACTTACGCGCAAGTCACCGTGCCTGCTCTCATCCTGCTGTGGAGCACACGGTTAAACATAATCTACCACGACTGTTGGACTGTCATAGGCCTTAAAACAATATCCCTGAAGCTCATTTGTTTCAGAACAAAACGAATTCGGAAAACCCAACGACCTTCTTTCGAGCTGATGATTCATGACGCAGATAGCTGTCAGACCCGCCAAAAAGCCGAGACAATGAAAGACGAAAAATGTTGATGGCCCACTGTCGACAATTCTAGCATGTTATTTGAATTTATGGTCGTTGAACCGACCAGGCCCTCGGAAACGTCTAAAGTATGGTGAATTTGGTAGAACACGGGACTATGAACCCTCGTAACAGAGAGGGCCTGGAGTTATATTTTCGATGGATTAGGGTTGGGTCAAGACAAGTCCTAGGGCTGTGGTTAGATGTGGGATGAGGGCTAAGGTTTGGATTGGGACTCGAGGAGAGGTACCCATCTCAGAATTCAGCGCAAGACCATTTGCACTGCGCGGGCTATTCTTACTCCGGTGTCTTATCTATTCTTTTTCCGGCCAGTCATTTATTCGGCTAGATCGCAGTTGGTAGTCCGGAGTGGAAAGTGGACGGCGACCTTAACCCTAATCCCAACCTTAACCCTAACCCTAACATCAACCGTTACCGTTAACCGTTAACCCTAACGGCAACCCCAACCCTAACCCTAACGGAAATCGTAAACGTAACCGTTGCCCTTAGACATACCCCTAACTGAGAAGCCTAACCGTAATGCTGGAACCTATTCGTACGCTCGAACCCTAACCATAACCCGGAAACCTAAGCCTAAAGGCATAACCCTAACCGGAAAATTAGAAACCATTAACCGGTACCCTAATCCTAACCTCAACCGTAAAACGGAAGCCAAATGCGTCCGATGTGACTATGGAGACCCACAAAATAACCCCAGTAAACAAGCCCCCCAGCCACCTGTAATGCGGGTCCGGGCTACCAAATGCGATCTAGCCATTTATTCCTCCTAAAATATTGCCTACATGACCTCAGTGACAAAAGCCGAAAATGACAGGAGGGTAGGATATGCAATACCTTCGAGCAGTGCCCATATCAGGCATTTGATAGAATATGTTGACCAGTGATCGGCCGAACCCCAATTGCCATATTAAATGTCCTCGTCCATTTTGATATTTACTTATAGTAAAGAGATTTAAGAAGCGAATTTCTGTTGCGATGGTTTATTACTCGATCAGACAACACAGCGTTCTAGTGCTGAAAGACCATCGGTTCTAGGTAAATTAATACAGGCAGATAAAAATAAATGTTAACTGAGAGAACAAAATTACGTGGGCAAGACAGATGGATGGGCGAAAGATGATGGAGCGAGATGTATCGGGGCAATGCGGCAGACGGATGTGTAGCCCTGGCCGAGTAGACTGAAAATTACAAATAGGGGTCGTGCTCTTCGCATGACTGAACTAAGGCGAGTGTAGAGTGCTGGTTCTTGTAAATCCTTGAGTCCTTGTGTTGATATAAAAGGTCTTCGGGCGCGATATTGAAGAAAATGGACAAGAACCCGAAGACGAATAAAACAGAGTTAGAAAGGATGTACCATTGGAACGCCAGGAAAGAAAGATCCAAACAAGGACCACGCAAAATATGTTGCTTGGCGAGTTTCTGCATGGATTGGCCATAGAGCAGTCGGTTATCTTTCCACTTTCTCCCCTCAGTCTCTGACGTGTAGCATCGACTTCAAGGCCATCATTGATTTGAACATCCAGTTGTAGAGATACATTCGGATTGTCGGTATAATTAAATTCTGAAAAAAATGGCAAAAACAAGCGATCTTATGTAGTAGGCAGCAGGCGGTAAGAGCTCTTCCTGGAGCAGCAGAAAAAAAATATAGAAAGGCGTTCTATTTTCACTTTGACAATTTGCTTCGCGAGCTCAGCAAGCCGGGTCGAATGACCGGAGGGCTCCCGTCTGTGCAACTCATCTTGGAAGACGATGGGTGCGCTCGCCGTTCACGTTGCCAATGTCTATGAAGATGAGTTGTGGGCTCCCTTTTGCCCATGACGATAACTAGATACGCGAAAGCACCCTTTGACTGTTTTTAAATTTACCACATAAACTTATCTGCATTCTGAAACCATCTGCATCTTCATTCAACGGAAAAAAGTTGGTGTTTTGAACTTTCAGACTCACATGTTGTCGCTCTGGACGAAAGGAACGATGGTAACCAAGGTCCTGCTTGTCGATATTAACCATCATTTAGATGGAAACGATATACACAATCAGCGCCGGTAACGATAGGATGTAGAGTCCCCAAGTAGACGGGAACTCCAAAAATATACCTTAAAATCCAGTGTGACTGTAGACATCACTTATAATTTACTGTTCCCATTGTTTCAAATTTCCTTCCCTTCTCGGCTAAATATAAACTTACCACCAATGCTTTATTTAAAGTCCGTTATTTTTTGACAATTGCCTTCTGCTAATTTTTTTATTATCGCCCACTTTCTTTGCTAAAGGACAGCGTAAGGTAGGAGACTTTCAAGGAAATTTATATGTTTTCAGTGTCTTCTTGCTCTCCGTCCTGTGAGTTGTCGCGCCCGTAAAACCCCTCCACCATCATCCAACCTATGGCATGGTCCACTGGCCAGCTCAAGTTGGTGGCAGGTCCTGCACATTATCGCTGTCCCAGCGCCTTATGAGTTGAGTTGTAGTCACCAACGCTTAGGTTTCGGAAGTTAATAGATGAACTTGCCAACTTAGAGAAGGAAAAACAATAGTCCTCACTCACCAAACAACTGGTTCCCGGATGATTTTTACGCGAGTCTGGTACGTAGTATAGCGGGGTCGAGATCAATCTGTTTGAAATGATTACACTTGTGACGCAAGTTGCGATCAAAAGACAATAGGTGACAAATAATGTTATATTGACCCGACTGTAAAAAACTTGGCCCCTCGGTGGGATTTGAACTCACGACAGCAAGAGGAAGCTTTAGTACAGCCAATGCTTTGGCCACCTGGCCACCCCACTGAATGACGTGAGTTTAATTGCATTAAGGTCAAGTTACTCGCTCAGCCTACTGCAACTTCTGGAATCCCAAAACGTAACTATTTGATCGTCACTTTATTTATTACGTCAAATAATCACTGATGAAGGCCTGTAAAAGTGGTTATTTTAAACGACGTTCTCGAAGAGGTGAAGTGTGTTTGCCAGAAATGTGATTAGAAGGAGTAGTTCTGTACATCTTTGGGTTCTGATGTCATTGCAGAAATGGCGGTTATGTTTTCAGCACAACGCAATGCAGGTAATATTTTGTTGAAAACTTTGCGAAACTGGAATATTTCAGAAGCTTTTCCGCGTAAATACTTTCTCTCAGACCGGAATGGCTGCGCGGCAAACAAGAAGCAACGCGGTTTTAACCCTCCATCATAAGGCTTTTATAAGTAGACCAGTTGTCTGGTAAAGGGCTCAACCGTTGATGTACACCGAAGATAAATTTGGCCTCCAAAAATGGGAGCCTTTAAAGCTGCTTAGCAGTGCGTCTAGGCTAACCAAAATAAACCCATTTCCGGGACAACATTGTATCAAATACGCTATGTGCGTTGGTACGACTGTTACAGAAACAAAGATGATCAATAATACAGGCTCACAACAAGGCATAAACAAACAAATTTTATTAATCTTCGTCCTCTGACGTAGGCAACAGAAAAGAAATCATCACACAAGGTTATGGTGAAGTTAACCCAAGAAGCTCCCGAGTTTATTTCGACCAGCTCAAAATAGGTTTGCCAAATACAGAATGCTTTATTTTTATCACAGAGAGGACCAGCCAAATTAAAAAACGATAACAGTTTAGATGTAAACCACAGAGAGCTTAAATGCGCTCAATGACCAAACATTCGAATGCATATTCGCATCCAACTAAGCATCACACACCCTGATAAAAAATGATTTCAATTATAAATCTTTCATAGTATTTAGACAGACATTTATGCAGTATGGGAGCTATCGTCAAAACCAAGTGCGTAGCTTGTGGGATGTTTAAATACATGCGCAAATGAACAACCCATTTTAAAAAAGCGTAGCTTTGTTCATCCATCTTTGACAAAAAGTTCCTTACAAGAGTGCATAGAGTGCACAACTATCAGCGTAATCGGGACATTAGATTTGGGTAGGAACATTTGGTTTCATTTCCCTAAAAATTCTGCTAAATTTGGCTAGTTAACGATTGACGTAAGACTTAGGGTTGGATAGCAGGTTTGGGTTTTCTGTTCATTAGCTTCCAATATTTTGCAAGAGTTGGCTATTTTATCCATTTACCACCGCGCAGTTTGAAATTGTAGTTTTATGTCACCGTAATTTGGAAAAGGGGTGGATAACCTCTAGTAGGTAGTAGTATATCCATCTGCATAGCTCCTTTATTTGTAATAATTGTACATTGTGCATATCTACCACTGCCATTTCTGGGATGTCACCACAGCTGTTGCCCAATGGAAACCTCTTACCATCCTTAACATCAGAGATGACTTATTAGACTTAAATGCTGAGAATGACCTAGAAGTAATGTAGTAGTCAGTAGTAAAGACAGCGATGTTACTAAATATGACAAAAACATAAATTCAAAATTGAGTAGTTGGTCGCAAGGCTTTTTTCTCAGCCAAGATTCCTATCTATCCGTAACATCTCAAATGGTTCGCGAGAAACAGGTGTAAGTAATAGCTTTATACATTAATAAAACAATGGTATACAAACTCTGGTTTAGAATGCTTTAAAAGAATCTTAGGAACAGTTGTTGGTTTGAATAGCATATCCAAAGTTATAAAAACATCTAAAATACCATTTGTTTTGGTCTTTGTGCTCCAGTTACCATGTTTTTCCTTTAGTTTTGATGAAATGTGGACTAATGTTTTGCCTAAACAAAGGCAAAACTGAAAAGTTTCCATATATGGTATGGGCACTTAAGAAACCTAAGGAAGTAAATTAATTCTGCAAAACATTGCAAATGGAAATCGTCTCCAGCACATGAAATTACATGTCGTCGGATTAGAAAAAAAACAATTATTTTTATCTCGTCGGACCAAATTAAACCTTCCCTTATTGAATAAATTTCTCACGGTGAAAATTAATTGCGCGGAGAGATCTTTGCCGGATTGAAAATTGACGTGCGAATTACAAACGCACCGGTCACCAAAATAATATTGCGTGATGTTTTAAATAATTCCCAGTGGACAGAGTTTCCCATGGGGTAGTAAAAAATTAATGCGGCAGAAACTGTCCCTATTTCTGCAGGTCTTTGAACAAACGTTGTTATGGCAACGCAGACTACTTAAACAATTGTCACAGTTTCTCGTTGCAACTTGCAGACAATGGAAAAATACCCAACGGATGGTGAACCGCAGACAATATTTGATGTGTGCCCTTTAACAATCGGCCATATCTAGATGTTTTGGCCAAATTATCTTCTAAGTGATGGAGATATTCTTCAAAAAAATTTAAGTTCATGAACTGTGCTTGTATAAAGGATTGCTTGAAGAGCAATTTGAAATGACAAATCTGATTTTTTGGCTCTTTAAAATAAGAAAATCATTTCAACAGTGTGAATAACATAAATAAAAACAAAACAGACCAAAACTCCACAGGAATAATGCTGTGAGGACAGGAACGCAGCACCAGTGCGCAAAATCATATACATATAACCCCTCTTCAGATTTCGGATCTGTTCTTTCTACCTGTTAGTTTCAAATACGTCCTTTGGAAAGTCCGATAACGAAGAAAAACATATCTACTTTAAATGGTGAAAGCTGAATTGCATGGTAAGGAATTGTCAGCTTTTCTGATGACCACATCTAAGCAGAAGGCGCTGGATATAACATGGAGGATATTAGGATTAAGATCGTTTAATCTGAACCGGTGGAAATGGTTAATACTTTGACGACCGGTTCAGCATGCTGTCCGCGGTTACATTCGGAGCCCTACAGGGTCTGCGTGACTACACACCTCAACAGTTTGATCGTCGTTTCCAGAGATGTCCACCGTGTGCTCTCCACAGCAGGATGGGAGCTAGGACGGTGACGTACGGGAGAATTCCTTCATAGTAATAACAGACTTATGCGGCCTTCACCGCACTCTCTCCCATCCCCACACCTGGACCCGGTGTCATCAGAGAGTCGAGAAGACCCCCACTGAGGCGTACCACCACAACCAATGGTAGACAAAATAAAACTGGCCAAGATCTGCTGCAACAATTAAAAGGACGCGGCGTGGGTCTGCATTTGGACGTGCTGCCGCATCTCCAATGTTGGCTTTTTTATGTATGTGCATTCCCAATGAGGCCCACTGGACCCCGATCTAACCCATTGCTGGTCCAGCGCATCAACCGCTTGGCCCGTTTTAGTGGCTTAATTACGCATCTTCATAATCATTCACAAAAAACCACACAAGGTTTTGAGTTTGACGTAAAGATATGTCAGCATTTACTAAGAGTCTGCAAGGTCACCTTTTAGATGAAGACTTTAAATACGGACAAGCGTACAGCTCTTTCAAGGATAATAGAATAAAAACATGATATATAACTTAATAAACAATGCGGACAATCCCTTATAACAGGTTAAGGTCCAAAATACTGTTTTACGGTTCTGGATTTTAAAGGATAGGTGTATATGCTGCAAAGGGTATTCTAACTTTCAAACATCAGGAAACAGTTGAGATGGTGCGGTAACTAAAAGCAATCAACAACAAAAATAATTTTTCTATGCATGTTCAAAAATGGGTCCAATAATTCACACTAGGATGTTGAGTCAGGAAACTACTGGTGTGGTATTTTTAACGTTACAGTTTCTTTAGCACGCCCTACAATAAGCAAAAGGTCTGATCTGTTTCATGAAAATGACTAGTCAAAGTTTGAAGCAGTGGTTTCCCGGGATAAATTTGAACAAGGCGAAGGCGACAAAGCATGCAGAATTTAATGACCGTACGCAGCTGAATGAGAGGTCCCGAAATTTATGACGTCATTAAATTCTGCATGCTTTGTCGCCTTCGCCTTGTTCAAATAGTCAAAGTTTGTCTGGACTAAAGCATACCTTGTGTTCGTCGGCCTTTCATAGTGAACATAACATTTCCCTAAAGTATTTAGCTTTCTCATTATTCAGGCAACAAATTACTGCATAACATATGCGGATAAGTAGGCATATTTTTGGCCATTTTCCCCTCTCCGTTACTATTTATTATGCATTTTAGTTTTTTTGCAGAGTGCGAACAAAACAAACAACTTTAGCTGTGCCTCCAAATACACCAGAGTACTGGTGACCAAGAACGAGCTTTTTGCTTCCTTTAAGCTACTTGAAACGGGTGAAAATATGCCTGCTACGATAATATATGCAAGTTCCACATTTACGGTGCATATACGTAATAAACATCGATGCATAGAAACTGACTGTATTTGAATGGCTGCGTCTTACATTTTACTGCAGTGAGTGAGTATCTATTAAGGAAACAATATTTAGCCAAATAATGCTGACAAATAAACGGCAAATAAGTATTATTTTACAGAGGGTTAAATACTTCTAACCCCTCCCGCTTCAATCCTGAGTGATTTTTTTCATTTTACCCCTACCTTCTTATTTTATCTGTATCGAATTGCGAATCAATTTAATCATCCAACGAACTTGCTGCGATCCTATAGTTCTGCACCGAGCGCATCACGAAGCAGTATAGATAGAACGTCGGATTTTAGTGCATACGCATGTTTAGATTAGGTTCGAATATACGTAATATTTTGGTTGGTCTATCCACGTCAACTTCGATTCCATGAGGACCTTGCTTAAAATAGCGGAAGTTGTCGCTTTTTAATTTCCTCAGAAATTATCTAAAAAGTTGGAGTAGATGTGTTTATTCAAGGTCTATAGGCTCAGACCGAGAATTTCATGCATGAATATTTGGACCAAAGCCCATCAGCCACAGGGGTGACCGCGTAATATTCACTGACTGTCGACAGACAGCTAGTAGTATACGCTAGGGTAAGTTGATACCATAATAACAGCACAGGTACTAGCCAAAAGCCCGTATACGCGTGTATCGCCGATATTTTGCCGCTGCATGGCGCAGCTGCGAGGGGTTCGGCTCGTCATTGGGTCCCACAGCATTCCCCGTGTGTTTTCTTGCGGTTACTCAACTTTAGAAATTGTCGCTTGTTAATTTCCTCAGAACTTGTCTACGAAGTTGAAGTGGATCAGTTTATTCAAGGTCTATAGGCTCAGACCGAGAAGTTAAAAACCAGTGCAGGTTTAAATTAGCATTTCCCTTAAACATGGTATGTCTAATTAGTCTAATCATTTGAATCTGCGCCCAAAACATTGCTCGTTTGTTTCTGCCGTTAAACATTTCGCAATGCTTTATAGATCCGTGCGATTCCTAGGCGACACGCAACTGCAATTACCGGTTATATGATCCGAAAACGATTTTTTTGACTGCACTGCTATCGCGCCTGAGTTAAAAATCCGTATTGCGACGGAAATGAGTGAAGGCATAGACCTTCTAGGCCGATTCACTAACCAAAGGTGAGACATTAACCAGAGATTGAGTTGCAATTTGTTACCTGGAATATATATTTCAGGCATTGCTTGGGAATCGCTTAACTTTACACAGTTACATGTTTATACTGCGAGATCAAACCATAGTGCCCAAATTGGAGCCACCGTTTAGCTACCACACTTGTGTTTGCCAGTTGGAGGAATAAATTAGAGTGCTTGACAGTGATTAATTCGCGTCACGCAACACACATTTGCTGCGTTCATACTTGCCCGAAATCCCTCCTAATTAAGCTCATTTGATACTATGAAATCACCAAACATATGAAATGTTTAGTACAATAAAATTGCGTTTCTGATTTACGCGAATCATTACGTAAATTTATTACACATCCTATTCTCGCAAGTATGAAAGGACAGGACGCACGAAGTTAGCGAAAAAAGCCTTGAGCCAACACTGTCTTGAAACGGCTGAATGGGGGCTGATTACAAGATCTCTAGCTATTGTGAATCATTCAACATAATTCGGAAACGTCGGAGATATTTTGTGATTTCGCCAAAATGTGCATATGTCATAGTGCATAGGCTTCTGTCGGCCATAATGAAAGGCATTCTTGTATATTTGTGGGATAACAAAATAGAAAACTCTGTCTTTCAAAGGAGAAGTAGATTACTTGTTGATTTGTGGTGCTTCTCAGTCGTAAAACATAATCAGCCAAAAAGACCCTGGACAAAGTTATTCCTTCCAAAAGACGCACTGATACGTATTATAAACAAGATCTTCATTTGTAATTGCTGACCTTCTTTACCCCATTAGACATCGTAATCTTGCATTCTATTTATTCTGGATGTTTGTGTTTAAAAACTGATCAAGTGTCGTCCTATATATTTATCTAGCAGTTGCATGTTTGCTCCTCACATGCCTTCGTTCGTGGATCGTATATTTCTGTCTCTTTGACGCTCGGGCATTCTGAAATGCTCTTTAAATCAATGGATTCAGAAGTTCCACCGAAGAAGTTAAGAGAGGTCGAAACGACTAGTTCTGACCTATCTCCATTCACTATCGAAACAGACGTTCCTGCTGTCGAGTGCACTTTGAGACTCAGCCACTCAAAAGGACTCGAGACCAGAAGTTCAATACAAAGCGGAATGACACCGTCATCATGACAAAACAGGTTTGCATCATGTCGCTGATCGCAAGATCCAATTGTTTAATCTCGGCGTGAGTCAACCTATCCTTGATACGGAACAAAAATAATCAACCATTTGCTGCTTAGGGCAAATAAGACAGAAATGACGGTATTCGTGCCCCTATTTCCGTCGGTATAGCATCTAGATTACTGTTACTCGCTTTGTGACTGCCTCAGCTACAAAATAAAACGAAATTACCCTTCTGTTCTGCCGTCAGGACAGAGCAGTGCATGCAACGCCCATGAGACCCCAGTCCCCTAAAGGATTAGAGGCAATGCCACAACGATTTCTGGTGTCGCAGTGTCCAAGATGCCAGTGGTAGGGGGAAGAGCCGTAGGACTTTGGGTAATAATTTGTTGAGGATGACGACTACTCAAAGGTAATCAAACTGCGTTCTTGTCTCTAAAAGCGAGTTTGTACTTAGTGCTTTCGATATATTGCCTTATTCCCTGCAAATGCTATGTGAACAGTTACGTAGCACTTGCATTCAAAACAAGAAGGAACGTATTGATTTGCAGGTGGCCAAGCTAGGCATCCAGTATTACCTTAAGTCGCATAAACCAAACCTTTGCACCAAAAATGACGTGAAAGATTCCCGAATTGTGGTATAAATTGTAATTTTTTCCAAATTAAAAAACTGAAACTCTTACACGCGTTACGAAGGGCATAATTTCGCAACAGGCAGGGGTTGAATGCTTAAATAAAAGCCTCTAAACCATCATCGAAGCACAGTAATTTCTACGATGTTACAGGCACATTTGTAAAACATTATCGGACACAACGTACGAAATTTCCTTTCGTTGTTTTCTCGTGAAGACCTTCTTTACATTTCTTAACCGCTCACAGGGCAGAGAACCACCTGTGACTCATTAATTAAGGTAAACTAGTTTAATATTTCCTGAGCGGCAAGTGCCTAACATCCCAATCAGCTGCAACTATGGTTGGCGCCAGGGCCGACTTAGTTAAAAGGGCGTTTTTTCAAGTAAAAATCAACATTTTTTTGGAGCCCTATCTGGTTTTCCTCGGTTACTGAATAGGCATAAGGTAAGCATTTAAGACCTCCACATGGTGCCGTTGAGGTACTTCATACTCCTGCGCTAGCAGATACTAGCGGCAACGGAGGGAGTGTGCATGCAATTAGCCAACGCACTCTTCTGTTTGCCAAAGACGTCCATATAAGTCTTCCAACTACTTTGGCCTGTGCTAAGATCAACATATAGCTGCCCGCATCCTACCACGTCGCTTTATTGCGACGACAGGTAAACACATCCCCATCATGCATTAACCCTGGGATCTGACCTCGAAACTAGACCATAAACTGCCCATCCTGCTTGGAAAATCATGATTACCCTATCTTATCCCTTTGCAGTGGGTTATTTTTGGTATTTTTTAAATTTCATGTTCTGTCTTAAAGCATATTACCATACAATCCCGATAATATATAAGCAAAAACCTACAATTATCTACATTGCCTTCATTAAATGTGCAACCTTTTTTCATGGGGTTCTTAATTTTAGCAGCGCTCTCCATTAGACTCGTTAATGTTGAAAAATGGAAGTCAACTTTCAGTGCTATCTCAATAATAAGCATAAATGAGAAGTAACGCTGCTTACATTATTTATAAGGTTACTTGATCCTGATGACATTTTAACAGTGATCTTGCAGGCTCCCTTCGGCAGACTTTTGACCGTAAAATTGAGTTCAGATTTGAGGAAGTCATCGAGGGTAAAACTAAATCGCATTCCTTCAACAATTTCCTTTATATGTGCAGTCATGCGATTGGGATCTAAAATGAAAGAAAAACTGGGGCATTGGGACGTTATCAGCGGCAAGCAACACAAGACAAGTTTCTGTGGCGTTAACATAAACATTTCTCACAGAAGAATAAAAAGAGAGCATTCCTTGCCCATTGAAAAAGTAAGCGACTTGGAAACCTCGGTTTTTTGGAAGGAGCCCCGACATCAACTACCAGCCCTGGTTCTTTCCGATTGCATTACTGGTCATTATTAAAAATGACGACTAAAATTTACCCGGAAAGGGTCATAACTTCCTCAAAAAGCTCGGTAAATTTTCTTTGTTTTTAAAAAGGAGAAAAGGGAGTAGAAAGCAACCCATGGTTACACTTTCCGCAGGATAATGCTCTTGAAAGAGCGGTTAACGCGACCGTGCGTAGGGCTTTAAGCAATTCAGCGAGTTTGGTTTAATAATGTAGGGCTAGTGCTGAGTAAACTTCACAATAATTCAATGTGTTAGTCGTTGACTTCACGAAAGAATCACGATCAATTTTGTATTGTTCACTCAGATTTAAGTAAATTTTCGATTGACTTTTGTGCGTCAAAATTCCCATTTTAGTCCATCCGGACTCACTTTGAATTATTGCTAGCAAAAACATTTGATGCATATCGTCGGAAATGGCGGCGGAACTGGCGGGGATGCTGCTGCTCCTGCAGTTGCTGCTGATGATAATGACGACAATAGTAATAACAAGAATAACTTTAATAATAATGATATTGGCGTTAGCGGTGGTTCTATGGTCGATAGAAGTTAAAGTATTCAAAGGAAATTGCTTCGTAAAGTCACCACAAGATTGGGTCTTCGCATCGTATGCAAACAGCGGCTGCATCTTACTCATTAAGTGCATGCGGTGTGCACCATTTTATGTCGTTTAGGTCCTCATTCCCTGGAGCAGTAGCCTTCATTGTAGCCACCGTCCAACAAAATTCATCCAAGAGAAGCAGATTATCTTTCAGCGATTCTTTCAAGCTTTTTGACGACTTACAAATACGGCGTTTAAAGCACGAGGTGAGTTTATGGGGAAATAGTTGGCTGTTCTTCGCTGAAACCTGGAGGAAACAGAGAAACCCCGCAGCCGGACAACCACTTGCTGCGGGACTTTTACTTGGATGTCGGCCACTGAAACGACAGCCACGTCCACCAGCTGTTCGAATAATTCATTCTACCCACCCAACATGCGTGTCTGTACATTTATTTCACGGAGACCACACGGAAGTACAGTAGGTGGGGTTACTCACGAAATGTAAACCGAAAGTCCGAAATGCGTTTTCGTTTCGAAAAGGTTAATTAAATAGGACTATGAAATTAAGCATCAAACAACATACATCTATACTAATTCAGTTACCCCAGCACGCCGGCCTTCGAACGAACTTCTAACCGGCTGATTGCAAAAACTATACTCTGCAAAGAATGACTACTTGGCTAGCATGCATTTTTCTCGTTGATTATCAGTGCTTTTAAAAATCCAATCATATTTCATGAAAAGCATACATGAAAGTATTTACTCTTTTGATCATTCGGCAGAAACTGACGTCTTCTTCTAATTTTATACTCGAAGGAAGGGTATAATTCGGTTTTCAAAAACTTTTCCAATTCCCGAATAATTTTGAATCCCGCCTACCGTTACACTTGCATTTAAGGGTTTCCAAATTGCAAACCGTATACTTCCCGCTTACGGAAATCCTTACATTTCACTACCGTATTAAGAGGAGACTATATGGGGTTTATAACATTTAACAGTGGATTTGAGCCATTTTGTTAACTTTACAAGCCATATTAGTAAATGCAGAAACATGGCGTTTTATGAACGGCCAACTCAGGGTATTAAGAAATCTCATAATTAGAAGCCTTTTAAAACCGATTTATATCCATCCTTCGAGCATGACATTGGAAGACGACTTAATTTTCTACCGAATTAGCAAAATAATAAGTATTTTTATGCATGTCAACCATGAAATATAATTGAAAATTTAAGGGCATCGAAGATTAATGATAAAAATGCATGCTACTCAAGCAATCGTTTTTTGTGAAGTATTGGTTTTGTATGCGGCCGAAAAGAAGTTAGTTTAAAAGCCGGCATGCTGAGGTAACTGAATTATTATAGAACTTTGCTGCACGATGATTAGTTGTACAACCCTACTTAATTATTTATTTCGAAACGGAAACACATTTCGGAATTTCGGTCGACATTTTATGATTTAGCACACGTACTGTAGTTCGATACACAAGACATGGGCAACTGTAACGTTCAAGGCTAAAAGAATGCCATAGGTCGCGCCGTTTAGTAATCAAAGCGACAGGGAATAGGAACACGTGTCCCCGGTTCTAGGGGTGAACGGGCTTTAAACTCTAAGACGGAGAGAGGGTTAGGGTTGAAACGGTGGAATACGTGCCCTCTGGAATCTTGAGTAAGGTCATATGTAACACGAGAATATGCATTCCCGTGTCTGCCCAAGTAGATAACGAACACTCTGAGCATGAACGCAGCCGGCACGAGCGTTTTCTATAGGCCTCAGCTATTGTGGCCGGATGCAGTGACAACATATGTTCATTTTTTTAGAATCGCTCCAAAAAGTGCGCCCATTCCATCTTTAACGAACAGACCTCATTTGCAAGTCAATAAAATGGGGAACATAAGCAAAGTGGCCAGCCCAGAAGCTGTGGCGGCGTCTAGTCAATGATGAGGCAGTTGCCCTTATTTCACTAAAAACTCCCACATCTGATTTCTGCTGAACGTTTCAGACATGCAACACCGATTGGATTCCCTAAGGAGGTATTCTTTTTACACTACTACATTGTTTGGAAGGATACGGCAAGCTTCGATTCTACGTTCTAGTCCTGTGGTCTATTTAACGCTTTGAGGCTTGGGATCCGGCGAACACCTGTGTTGCAACCTGGATGGTGGATTTGATTCCACCATGCATGTGATGCAAATCACAACAACATGCAAAGTGAGATTCCCAACTTTAATCCATTTAACTGAATGTCATATGCAACCCTCTCTTTAGGTAAGAGAAAATGTACTATTTAAATTCTGTGGCCTAAAAAATTTTAAGCAGTAGGGAGCCCACCTACTTATTAATGTATCGTACTGAAATTATTTTTCGTATTTTAATTGAAATAAAAATGTAATTTTGTGACATCTGGGATTGCTGCTTTTTTAAACGCCTGCCAACAAATTGGGCCGCGTTGAACTTTGTTAGACTGTGAACTGCAAGTTTCCGGTTTGGCCTGTTATGCTAAATAAACATAACGTTCCGCGGTCTCTTGGGTAAATATTTAAATGTACTTGTGAGTTTTAAAACTGTTTAGTATTTTTGAGCTTTGCACACCCAATATTTCATTTATTGTTTTTCAGGTATCTGCCCTTGGAAACATCACCACCGTCCACTTATTATTTGAAAAACTGAGCCTCTTAGAATTTTCAATTCGAGTCCTCAGTGGACTGTAAAGTCGTTTGGTTAACTTCGCACGGTTAACTTTCATCCTCATAAATCGGGTTGGCCCTGCATTCACAGATCTACATTCGAGTAATTGCATAAATTGGGTGATCAAGCACTCCCTTACTACTATAGTCCTATGAATTTCCGAAAGAATCAGCAAGATTCCCCAGCGCAACACACAGTGTCAATTACTTTGGCTTACCGATATAATTTCGAGCGAAGATGAGTTCGAACTCCGTTCCAGGTAGAGCAGCGGAGGGCTCCACGTCGCTTTTAGTCGATTTTACCGAGTCCACCCAAGATGGATAGTGTTTATAGTCAGTAATAATCTGGAAACATCGCATAGCCTGCTGATTGAGGACAATCTCCTGCTCAAAAATCTCTGGCCCAGGTTTAACGCATACCAGCGCCACTAAAGCTGCCAAAATCACACCGCCAGGAAGCCAGAGGTTCATGCGAAAGTGGAGAAGTCGTAGAGGAGGAAGGTGATGCTGCAATATCCCCTAATCCACCAAAAGGACGAAAATGGCCCTCGGTGGCGACCGCGGAGACATGTCACACTGATGCGGAAGTTGATTGGCGCAGGAGGGTATTTCTGCTGTCAAGGTCACGTGGTCAGTCAAGAGTGGCCGGCAGCAGTGCGGACGGCGCGGCGATGTTGGGACTATCGCCGGGCACATGTGGGCCGCTAAAAGAGCGTGCGTACGCGCGTGCTACCGTGTGGACTTGGGCGTTAAATAGAAGCCCCAGGGTGCAGAGAGTGCACCCACCAGAGGTTTAGCCTGCGCACTACCGCAAAATTCGGTAATGTCTGGGGACAGATGGCAACCTGAAGGGTGGATCGTTGACAGCCGTAAAGCTGAAGACCTAGCAGCATGGTTTATTGAACATGCTGGATAGATTCCAGACCCCAAGAATTTACATTTTAACTGCAGAAGAACAACGGTCTGGTCAGACGTGATGAAAACCGTTTGCTAAACAGCTTGCCGGCATTTACTCTCACAGGAATCGCAAACTTACCGATTAATGCAGTTAGTGGGCAGATCCGGAAATCCGAACTACAAAAGTACTTTCTGTGATCGGTTGGCCGCTGCTGCTAGAAGTGGGAATATTTGTTAAGCAAATTCATGCGCCCAAAATAAATAAAAAAACAATGATAGAAGACACTTGGCACAGACCCAAGTAAAACGATTAACGTCGAAAGTCTTTGCGAGTTCAAGAAAAGGACTGTATTGGGAAGGATATTGATCAAAATTGTACGGCAGTTCGGACGTCGTATCGGACGATGTCCACCGTGCGTTCCTCATTAGGGTGAGAGAAAGCACGGTGGAGTGTACGTAAAGTACTTCATAGTGATATTCGACTTGCGCAGAATCTAACGCGCTACCACCTCCTCTCACAAATGAACACAGTGCCAAGACATAGTTAAGAAGACCGGGAACGGGAGAGGACGCCGGTGGCTGGAACGGCCGGACCTACACATACGCGTACTACCACACCCCGTGATCCAGAACAAACACCTGACCAGGATTTTAACCAACAACAACAGAAACAACAGAAAAGACGTGGATAACTGAGCAGCCATGCACACGACCTGTATATCAGAGGGGGCGCAAGCACATATATCGACAGGGAACCAGGGGCCAGAGAACTGCACCAGTCTGCGTGTATCATGGTTGGCCGATTATGGCATAGCAGACGCTCACAACCCTTAAGGCCCTCAGAATTGTACAAAGAAGGTTCCAATAACACTGTCTAATATGCCTTTCCCTCGGAAAGGGGCTACCTTGCTGCTGTAACGATTAAAAGGATTAATAAATGCTCATATTATTGCGTACGGGCACTTATCAGAGACGATTTGCTACTCATCGTCACAGACTTTGAGAACGATGCAGAATATTTCATGTGCAGAACAAGAACGGCACTGGATCTGGATGACATCTTATGAACTGTTGTCGAGCTGTCAATCCAAAATGACCTTTCCATATTCCCTTCTTAAATGTTCCCTGATGAATTCTTAAAAATCCCTTTTTGCCCAACAGCAGTTGCCTAGCTGTCCATCCTGGTACACACCATCCCATTTGGATGGAGGACATTTTCTGCCAAAGTTCAACCGAAGTTAAGTGTATACCGAAGACTATGCTTCTGTGGTACACGTGATGTACGAGCCTGTTATGGCAAGTTATAAAAAGAACATGCCTACAAAATAACCACTACTTACTCAGGCAGACGATTTGTATTTCGTAATCGCAATGGTTCGCTACAGTAGGCAGCGTTCGTATCCCTATTGCGGGGAAAACGACGTGTGGAAGGAAGTCGCGTGACCTTCAGAAAGTCGTTAAAATCTGTATGAAAAATTACACACAAAGTTATAGAAGAGCTTGATGCTTGACGCAGAAATCCTGGATCGCTCAGCGTGTTTTCATAGTCGTCAACTAAGACAGTACCTTGGAGGCCAGCAAGGCCATTCAAATACATGACAACAGCGCGAACACAGGACGGGTAATCGTGGCAACGGTGGTCTCGACGAAATGAGTAAAGACACACGGTGCAGTTCCAAAACTGCGATCGAACTTGTGGACAGTTGCCTTGTAATCCGCGACGCAGCCCATGCCGCGTTTAAAAAGTATTCGATCTACGAGCATCTCACGCTTCGGAGATTTTTCTCCCTTGATCATCGTAAAATAACCATGAGAGGCTCTAGCTGTTTAGGCAGAACTGTGAAATGGAATGTCCTCATGACGAGATCTCAAAAAACTCTATTACACTTCAGATGTCTTGGAACCCTGGGAGCAGGAAAAGCTGCGATTGTCTTTGTGACTTGATAATTATGGACAGTCTGGCAAAGTCAATCAAAAGTTACATACTACCAGTGCCTACCTCTGCAAAATAACTCTAAAATGAAAAGTCCATTATTCCATCCCGAAAATTATCGGACTGGTAATTTTTGTTGGTTTTGGATAGATGACTGATTTATCTTCAGTTGAAAAAAAGTGTTATCAACTTTTACTTGTTTATTAGAAAATAAAGTTGTCGTCACACTTTGTAGTCGATGGAAGGATATATTTCTATTTTAAAAGGTTTCTAATAGTGTGATTTTTAAGACCGTGCAATGTGCATTCTTAAAGCAACGTACCTGTATGTTTATTAATGTTTCTCGTAAAGTATACAACAGTCCACTGCCACAGCAAATTTTATGAACTTTTTAAGGTATCGTCTTAAAGGCATAAGAGATATATGTTTTTCCTTGTGCAAAATGCATGCAGATTGTAGAATGGAATCGCTAAACGCTAATGCAACGGCTGGCTTGGCTCAAAATTATTCAGAAATCGGAAGAATTTCTTGAAACCTAAGTACACGCTTTTTCGAACATAAAGTATGAAGGCGGCGTGGGGCTCTACCAAACAAATTAAAGAAAGCATACTTTGGTTTATGTTTCCCGTAAAATATATTAGCATTTTTAAGGCCATTGTAAATCAATGTGAAAAAGCATACTCGTTATGTAGTCATCTTTTTCCGAGTATAGTTTCTATGGGAGGTCGAAAAGAAGTACATTTAAAAGTCGATATCCTGGTGAGAGCGAAATATTATAGGATTATGCCGCATACTAATCAATGTTTCAACCCCATCTAAGTAATACTTTCTAATCGAAAACACACCACAATATGTCGGCCTAAATTTTGTGAGATCGGTCGCTCACTGTACTCTATCGATAAGAAGGGACTGCCTAAGTGGGGTTATAATACTGGTTATCATGCAGCACAATCCCAAGATATTTTAATCACGTCAGGGTGCGCGTTTTTGAATGCCCTTTATTTCGTCGCCTAGAAAACCGCACTAGTTAAAAAATGACTGACTAAGTAGTATGACTCTTTTCCAACGCTTTCTGATGGCTCTATATAATCGAATATATCTTGCAAAAAAGTGTGTAACTGTATTATTTTGGTAATGATTATATAGAAACGCATGTCGTCTTAAAATTTTATATTCGCAAAAGGCACCTTTTCGTCTTCAAAGGTTCCCAATTACGGGATTTTTATGACCGTAAAATGTCCATTCAAATATCACCATATCTGCCTGTTTTATAACGTTCTTAACAAGTTTGCAACATGGCCCATCTCCGTCACCAAATTTAATGAGCCTTATATAGAATCTTCCTATGATTTGAAGAAATATACGTTTTTCCTTACACGGAAAGCATACAATCTGTAGATTGAAGATCATAAATGCAAATGCAACTACAGATCGAGTTCAGAATTATTCGAGTATAAACTTTAAAGAAGACATGGTTTGCTACCAAGGGATAACAAGAAATAATGTCTGATTGAGGTTTTTACAAAATCTACTTTAATTTATGATGAGATAGAAAGTCAATAGGAAAGATTCATACCACTTAGGCAGCCAATTTGTACTGTGGGCGGTTTCTGCAGGTGACTGGGAAGAAGCTCGCTCAGGAGTCAATATCCTTGCGGGGTTAAAATATCACGGGATCATATCGCGTTATGGTCTGTTTCACAGCCCCACTTAGGTATTCGTTCCTTATCGAAAACACAATTTCGAATTTCGGTCGACTTTTTACGAGATCGGTCACCGATTGCAGCAATAAAACCCAGCATATCATTAGGGAAACCTTATGCAAGGACTTGATGCCGACTTCACCGACCCATTAGAATATATCAGGCGATCTTCTGGAGGTTTCAACATGTTCTGCAAAATCGACCGCTTGTTCAGTGGCCTCGTAGGAAAAGAAACTGACGCGTTCGTCCTGGTTGACGTATTTCTCAGCTTTCATCAGTGCGTGCGCCGGTTCAACAGTTGCGTAATTCATTCAACTTACAAATTACACTTATGTAAGTTATGGGCAGATTACTGTATAGCGAATGTTTGGGAGAAGGGCAAGATTAGACCTTTCTAGTCGTCTATTTCAGAGAAGGGATTTACGTCCGTCCGGTTGTATATTCGCGAATAGAGCGAACATGGCTCAAACGCTCGAAACACGCTTTTAAGGAGCTGTTCGTGGAAAGCGACGAGCCATCGCTTACCCGCGCCTAGGACACCTGCAGCTATCTTCTATGTTCAACGATAAGATGAGATTTTAGGGCGGAAGCCATCCACGGAAGTTGTCAATATTTGCCGTGGTAGACGGGAGCGCTCACCGATCACCTTACGGAACACACTCATCCCGCCGTGTCTTGGGGCTCAACCTTGAGCCCAGCTGGCAGTCGCAGGGTGGCTAGTAATATACAGGCACAGAATTTGTTAACCTTCTCCGTGGTAACAAATTACAGATGTGACTGCGTATATGTTGCTGGATACGGAACAGATAAATTCGCATTGTTTAGCAGCGGGGTTCAAAAGCCGCCGATCACATCATTGACTTTTCCGAAGGCTACGTTCATCCTGTTCAATAAGATCCTTTGAACTGGAATCCGTCAGATTCAACGGAACAATAGTT